CTTTATAGGGATTCCAGAAGGAGAGAAAAGAAAAGGATAGACAGTTTTTTTCATTTTTTAAATGGCTGAAAACTTTTCTAACCTGGGAAGGAAATAGACAACCAGTTCCAGGAAGCACAGAGAGTTCCAAGCAAGATGAATCAAAGAGATCCATACCAAGAAATATTACAATTAAATGGCAAAAGTTAAAAGAGAATCTTGAAAACAGAAAGAGGAAAACAACTAGTAACATAAAAGGGAATCCCTATAAGGTTATCAGGCAAATTTTCAACTGAAATTTTAAAGGCCAGAAGGTAGAAACAGTATATATTTAAGTTGCTAAAAGGAAAGAACTTATAACATAGAATACTCCAGGGTGGTCGGTTTAACCTTCAGGATTGAAGGATAGATAGTTTCTCCAAAAAGAAAAAAACAACGGAATTCATCATGGGTCTTCTTTAAGTAAAACTTAAAGCACAATCATAAATTTTAAAAATACAGGTTAGGAAATATATCATAAATAAAGGCAAATATATAGTAAAGACAGTGGATCAGACACTTAAAAAGCTAGTATGAAGGTTAAAAGGCAAAGCAAAATCAAATATAAATACAATAAATAGGGAATACACAAAACAAAAATATCTAAAACATTATGTTGAAAACAAAGTGTGGAGGGTGAATAAAAAGGTACTATTTAAAGTTTTTAAACTTAAATACCTATCAACTTATAATACACTAGAGGCCCAGTGCACTCAGGTGGGGAGGGGGTTCCTCAGCCTGGCCTGTGCCCTCTCACAGTCTGGGAGCCTCAGTTTGACATCCTTAGCCTCTGCCGTTGTGCTTGCCAGCCATGAGCCCGGCTTCTGGCTGAGCAGCGCTCTCCCTATGGGAGCGCATTGACCACCAGGGGGCAGCTCCTGCATTGACCATCTGTTCCCTGGTGGTCAGTGTGCATCATAGTGAATGGTCCTTCTGCCATTTGGTTGATTTGCATATTAGCCATTTATTATATAGGATATGTATATGAACCTCATGGTAACAAAAAAACCTATAAAAGATATGCAAAATAAAGAGAAAGGAACCCAAACATAACACTAAAGAGAAGCAAAACATCACAGGGAAAAAAAGACATCACAAGAAAAAAAGAAAAAAACAGAGAAGAACTACAAAAACAACCAAAAAAAAAACAATTAAGAAAATGGTAATAAGTACATACCTATCAATAATTACTTTAAATGTAAATTAACTAAATGCTCTAATCAAAGGACATAGGGTGGCTAAATGAATAAAAAAAACCAAGATCCATCTAAATATTGCCTACAAATGACTCACTTAGGATCAAAACACACATATAGACTATAAGTGAAGGATGGAAAATAATATTCCATGCAAATAAAAAAAATTTTAAAGCTGGGGTAATAAAACTTATAAAAACAAAACAAACTTTAAAACAAAGACTATAAAAAGAAACAAAGAAGGGCATTACAAAATGATAAAGTGGTCAATCCAAGAAGAAGATAAAACATTCACAAATATTTACACACCCAACATAGAGGCATGTAAATATATTCAGCAAATATTAATAGACATAAAAAGAGAGATTGGCAGCAGAACAATAATAATAACCCACTTAAATAAATGAATAAATAATCTATACAGAAAATCAGTAAGTGCACATTATTCTTAAAAAAACAAAAAATTAAACCAGATGGATTTAATAGTTATTTACATAACATTTCATACAAAGTATGCAGGATAAACATTTTTTAAAGTACATATGGAACATCTTCAAAATAGATTACATGTTAGGCTGTAGAACAGTTTCAATATATTTAAGGTGATTAAAATCATACCACATATCTTTTCTTACCAAAACACCATATAACTAGAAATAAACCACAAGAAGAAAATGGGGGGCAAAAGACACATGGAGACTAGTCAACATGCTATTAAGCAACCCATAAATTAAAGAGGAAATAAACAATAAAACCAAAAACTATCTTGAGACAGGTAAAAATGAAAACATAACTTTCTAAAATCTATGGAATGCAACAGAAGCAGTTCTAAGAGGGAAGTTCATAGCTATACAAGCTCACCTCAAGAAACAAGAAAATTTCAAAATACCAATATGACTTTACACTTAAGGCATTAGAAAAAACAAAACCCAAAGTTAGTAAAGGGAAGGAAATAATAAAGGTCAGAGTGGAAATAAAATAGAGACAAAACAAGAAAGTAAGAGATCAATAAAATTAAGAGTTGGTTCTTTGAAAAGATAAACAAAATTGATAACCTTCAGCCAGACTCATCAACAAAAAAGGAAAGATGGGCCAAATAAATAATAACTACTATAACCACAATAATTAATTAAGGAATACCCAAGATAAAAAATATTTAAAATGTGACATCAAAAACATAAAATGTGGTGGGGGAGACTAAAAATGTAGAGTTTAGAATGCTTTCAAACATAAATTGTTATCAGCTTAAAATAGACTGTTATAAATAAGCTGTTATATATCAACCTCATGGTAATGACAGAGCAAGAACTTATAACAGATACACAAAAGAAAGTCATCAAACCACAAACAGAGGTAGCAAAAAAAGAAGAAAGGAAGAGAGGAACTACAAAATGGCCAGAAAACAATTAACAAATTCAATAAGTACATACCTATCAATAATTACTTTATATGTAAATGAACTAATTTGTCAAAAAACATAGAGAGGTTAAATGAATTTTTTAAAAAATAAGACTTGCCCTAACAGGTGTGGCTCAGTGGATAGAACGTCAGCCTGAGGACTGAAGAGTCCCAGGTTTGATTCTGGTCAAGGGCATGTACCTTGGTTGCGGGCACATCCCCAGTAGGAGGTGTGCAGGAGGCAGCTGATTGATGTTCCTTTCTCAACAATGTTTCTAACTCTCTATCCCTCTCCCTTCCTCTCTGTAAAAAAATCAAGAAAATATATTTTTTAAAAATAAAAATAACAAATAAGACCCATCTATATACAGCCTACAAGAGATGCACTTCAGATGTAAGGACATTATAGACTGAAAGTGAAGAAATGATAAAAGATATTCCATGCAATTGGAAAATAAAAGGAATCTAAAGTATTGATACTTATATTAGACAAAAAAACTATAAGACAAAGAATGTAATAAGAAAACAAAAAAGGCAGACATTATATAATGGCATAAATCCAACACGAGGATATACATTTGTAGTTATTGATGCACCCAGAACAGAGAATATATATCCCTATTTAAATATATAAAGCAATCATGAACAGACCTAGGGGGAATTAGGCAGCAATACAATAGTAGTAAGGGATGTTAATGTACCACTTATATCAATAAATAGCGCATGGATACAGAAAATTAATACAAAAACAATCACCTAAATGACACATTAAATCAGAAGGACATAACAGGTATAAACAGAAATTTTTACCCAAAATTATCAGAATGCTCATTATTCTCAAGCACACATGACTTCTCTAGGATCTATCATAGGTTAGGTCACAAAACAAGTCTTAACAAATTTAGAAAGAGTGAGTTCATATCAAGCATCTTTTCTGACAACAATGGTAGAAAACAAAAATTTCAATTACAAGAAGAAAACTAAAAATTTCACTAATATGTGGAGATTAAACAACATGCTTCTAAACTACCAATGGGTCAATGAAGAAGTCAAAAGGAAAGTAAGAAAAGACCTTAACACAAATCAAAATGGAAATACAACTGGCCAAAATAAGGAATTCAGCAAATGCAGTTGTAAGAGAGAAGTTCATAGTGATGTCTACCACAAGAAACAAGAAAAATCTCAAATAAACAACTTAACTTTACACCTCAAGAAACTAGAAAAAGATGCAGGTGCATGAACACACTAAATGTGCACCTATATTTAGATCAAGTCCTCCTGAAAGACAACTGAAGGACAATTGAAGAGCTTCTGTACAACAGAGAGAGACCATACAGAGAAGATAGGGGAAATGTAGGAGCCTCCCAAAATCTAAAAGAACCTATCATGACGAAGGAGCCAGGAGTGCCATTGTTTATATTCCCCCTGCACTTGGATAGTGCAGGTAAAAATTCTATCCAGGTAGTATGTTAATTATGCCCCAATTTATAAAAAAAAAAAAACATGTGAGAGATATAATGAAAACATAAGCATTGATAGTAGATCATCAGGTCTATTTAGGGTATAAATTTTTTTGTGCAAGATCCAACTATTCTCGCACTAGAAATTTATATTTCTCCTTGAGAAAAGTAAGAACTGAGTGAAATATGTACTTCAGTGTGATTTTATGGCTAACAATTATATAGGTCATTGCTTTCATCAACAAAAAAAGGGAGAAGCATAACAAAGAACAAAAGTGTCCGGTCTTTGGAAAGTTTTAGCATCCATTATATTTTAATGTTAAGGTATAAATTATCTTAGGTGAAATTTCGTTTTGAATAATTTTTACTCTACATTAAGCCCCAGTCTTCTTGGGTGAGCTTAACTATGTAGTTGCTAGATCTTACCAACAAATAGCAACCTAGGTTCCAAAAACCAATTCT